TGTATGTCACTCGCTTTTTTCTTTCTGGAGGTTTTTAGGATCTTCTCATTATCCATAAAATTTTGAAATTTTACAGTAATGTGCTTTGATGTGGCATGTCATAATTGCTGGGCATTGGGTAGTTCCTTTTGACCTATAAACATATCTTTTAGTTCTGGGAATTTTTATTATATCTTTGAAAACTTCTCTATTTTCACTCTCTGGATCTCCAATTATAGGTACATTATGCATCTCCTGCATTGATCCTACAATTTTTTAAAACTATCTGTTTTCCATCTCTTTGTCTTTTGTTCTGTTTTCTATCATATTTCCTTAGCTATTTCTATCATATTTCTATCTCCAGTTCTATTTCTATCTTATTTCTAACTATTCTACTTGTTTAATCAATGCTAATTTAAATTTCTAGATTCCCTTATTCTCTGCTTTTATAATTTAATAACATTCTTTCTTAATATCCTTAATTTATTAACTTGTTTTCATTTTTATTGTTTTTGGGTAATGTCTCAATCTCATTTTATATATATATATATATATATATATATATATATATATATAAATATTATATTTATATATATATATATATATATATATATGGCTTGTAGATTTCCAAATGGTTCTATTAAATTCTCCTTTCAAAGTCAGTCAGTTGGAGCATGCAAAAGACTTGGTATGAAGAATTGTCCTACTGGGGTTCAAAATTGATATTTGCATTTGTATTATGTAGATTAAAGAGACAAAATCTGCAAAATTTTAAGATGACAATCCATGTCTGAATCTTTTCAAAAGCAGGGTATTTATTTTAGAAATTATTGTGATAGTTTCTTTTTCATTAGAAATTAATATTGTTCCCTGAATTGTCTCTCTACTATCTCACTCTTACAATCAAAATAATAGTCATTAGACTAAGATGTGTCCAGGAGTTAGGAGTTACTGGGTGACAGGAATTTTTCCACTCCAGTATAGTCTTATGGGACTGCAGTTATATATGTAGTCTGTCGTTGACTAGAATGTAGTTATGCAGCATGTGACTGCAAAAGTTGGTCAGTTCTGTAGTAACCACTTGAGTTGCTAAAATTTAATCACATTTAAGATACATATAGAGTGAATTTAAAATAGAAAAAAGTGGAAATGGTCATGAAAACATCTATGTTCTCCTTTTTCCAGCTGGGCACTAAGGTTTCTCAGGGTTGGGTCTCCAACTGTGATCAAGTGCTGTTTTGATGCTACACTAGAGGGAGGCCTGCCATGTTCATGGAATCAGTTCTGTTACATATTGTTTCAGTATTTCAAAAGGACTTTTTTTCTTTTTTCTCTCCTATTCTAGTGAGGCTCTGTACAACTTCATTTCCCAGATCAGAGAAAACATTCACAAGGTAAGTATAGCTACATTTTAGAGTTAGAACATCTTGTATTTTAAGTTTAATAATTATATTGTATTGATTTTAGTTTGTGTAGAGTAGCAATACGTTTTTTAATGACTTAGTCAACAGATATTTATTGAATGCCTAGGCACACATGGAATACATGAGTAAATAAAGATCAAAGAAATCTTTGCCCTAATACTTAAAAGCATTTACTACATGTTAGGCAGTGGTCTAAGCATTTTACACACATTAACTCATTTAGCTTTTAAAACCTTCAGAACAACGCTACTTACTTAGTAGGATTTCCTTACAACTACTTCAGTAGAACTCACTTGTTCATCTAGCCCCTTCAGCAACCTAACCCAATTTCAGCACCATGGTACACCCAGCCCAGAGCGTGCATCTGAGCAATTCCCAGAAATGAATGGCAAAGTGATTTGGGAACATGATGGCAGAGGACTGACACCAGTAGACTGAAGTTGGGTTCCCCAGAAGCAGACAGAGCATGAGATAGGCAATTCTCGAGAGGAGCATTACAGGGAAAAGCTGCAAGGGAGAGACAGTGAAGTAGACAGAAAAGAGGAACAGCCAAACACAGTGTCTCAGGTCATGTCCAGCCCTGGCCTGATCCACAAGAAACTGTTCTACTTAGCTTAGACAGAAACCACATGGCAGGATTACACCCCCTTGAGACAAGAGGGTGGCCTTTTATGCCCCCATATCAGTCAGTCATTGGTTGTGGGCCACCCTGGTGGGGAGTGGAGGGATGTAAGGAGGCTCTCATCAGCTGAGGGCATTTTCTGGGAAAGGGTGGCACCTGTGACCTATTGCAGGCTAGCGCAGTAGAAGAAAGATAAACAAGGAAGTCGTCTTGGTTGGGATTAGCAACATCCTGGTTCCTCAGGAAGGTTTCAAAGCTCATCACAGAATTGGCCCCACCTTTTGTGGCTATCCTCGTCTGCCTCTTGTCGTCATCCTCGGCTGCTGGCTGCTGCTGCTGGTGGGGGCTGGGGGGGTTGCAATTAACCGCCCAGAGGTGCTCACATTTGGCTGAGGCTAAGTCTCTGGAGAAGGGGGCAGCTCTGAGCTGATGGCAGCCAACACTCAACAGCAACTGGGGAAAGGGGTCTGTATGGGGCTCCGTCAGCATCCACTACAGCCATGATTGTTAAATGATGATATTCCCTAATATGATCTATAGCTTCAGTGCAATCCCAATCAGAATCCCAGCTGGCTTCTTCATAGAAATTGACAAGGTGCCTATGCCTGGTCTGCCTCCCTGGGACTGTCTGAGAGGAGCAGGGACGCCTGCAGTCACTTCCTTGCATAGCACGCGAAATTGCCTAGAGTAGCAATATTTTAACTACTGTTTTTATCATTAAATGACGATTCTCCTAGTTAGAAGGCAAGTCTGTGAATCCTTTCTTCATTTTGGGTTTCTTAGTTGCAGACATCTGTGGAAAAGTCTGAGGAACATTTCAGTTCAAGAAGCCAGTCTATTTTGGATTCTTTGGAGACTGTGGTCAAGACATGTGAGTGTCTCGTGTTTGAGGTTATCAGCAGAGGGCAGTGGTGCGCGTGACTTTCTGACCCTGGCCAGGTTTCTGCCGGTGGTGAGTTTCCCTAGTGCGTCTCAGATGGGAGGTCGGGTCCATAGGTTAGCCCTGAAGAGACGTGGCGCACACTCAACTGGCTAGTGGGACCCAGCCCTGGGTGGGAATGCCCTGTCCCCAGATGCCTTGTGAAGCACTAATCCTTCACCCAGTGACTCCACAGCGGCTCAGCCACATTTCTCATCTCACTGCCTGAAGTGAAGCAGCGGCCTCCCTGAGTTCCAAACAATTACTGGCTGTGCTGTCTATGAAGACATTGCCCCGTCAGGACTTAGAAAGAAAGAAACTGCCCCCTTAGGAGTTAAAATCCTCCAGTCACCTACTCTTCTTCTGGCTGCCTTGGTTTCAATGAGAGCTTTTTATAGTGAATCACAGCATCTTTCTCAAGTTCAGTTAGTTTGTGGCTTGTAAAGTCCCCTGCTCTGCCAATCAGTGATTTGCGTTTAGCTGAAACCAAGGATGGTCCTGGCCTTTGATAAACAGGTGAGAGCCATTAAGCAGCTTTCCTTAGGCAGACTCCTCTCTGAAACCAACAGCTTCTCAGCTAAACAGCAAGATGATGGCTACATCTGCGCTTGTTTGCATTTGTCTGTGTGTTTATTTTTATTTTAAACAAATTGAAGCCAACTTATTCAAATGCCATGGGATAGATTGCTCATGATTTACAAAAATTAATGCCTCTGTGTGGCTTAGAAATCAATCCCCATATGTCTGCAAAGAAGCACTGTATTGTCTGCTGGCTTCCAAACTGGGTATCCCACACACAGGACAACTGTGCATCTGTTTGGAAACTGGCTCTGGAAGCCTAGAACTGTTACCCTCCCAAGAAGTAGCAAGACAAAGNAGGGAGAGACTCTCTTCCCTTAGTTTCAATTTGAAAAATCCAGAAGGCATATGATTGGCTTGCTTAGGTCATGTGGGTGAGCAGAGGGATGTGACTGGAAGTCCTCACCAGAACCACTTTTTGGATGCAGAAGGAGGCAGTTCCCCATTAGAGGAAGATGCTGGACACACTAAACAATGGATGGCCATTACCCAGATTATTGTTTTTTATCTGTAATATTTGAGAAAACAGATTAGCCTCATAACTAATGAATAAGCCAAGGACCACAAATAAATTATATAAATAACCATGTTCTTTCAACAATTATTGATAACCATAGTGAAATCTGTTCATTCATTCACCCTCTAAACATTATGCTAGACCTAATACTATCAACTGGTGATCCCAAGGGGAACAATTATGGTACCTGTCTTTGAAGTTCTCAGTCAAGTTAGGGGAATAGACATGTGATGGGTAAATTATACAACTGGGGCAGAGTTATTGGTTGTAAGCAAACAGAAATAAGTTCATTTAAACGGAAAAGGAATTTATTAAAAAGATATGGAACTGTGTCCTGGTTTTAAGCTGGAGTAAGCATACTCTATTCTGTCTCTCCCATTGAATGCAACTAAATGCCCTGAACAGAGTGCATTTAGCATCTAACGACTCTAAAAAGTAAAGGTGGATTGGGGAAGGAAACCTGAATTTGAAGTATGAAAGTTCTGGCTTTGAATTTCCTGGTATTTTTGTTTGTTTATTTTGTTTGTTTTTTTGTTTATTTTTAACCAAAATTTAAAATGTTTGCTCTGCAACAGACACTCTTAAGAGGATGAAAAGATAAGCTACAGGCTGGGGGAAAATATTTGTAAACCACATTTTCAACAAAGGACTTCTACCCAGAATATATAAAGGACTCTTAAAACTCAACAATAAGAAACAAGCAACTCAATAAAAAATGAGAAAAGATTTTAATAGACACTTCATCATAGAAAACATATGGATGGCAAATAAGTACATGAAAAGTTGCTCAACACCATTAGCCATTTTGGAAATATAATTTAAAATCATGAGATGTTACTACACATTTATTAGCATGGCTAAAATTAAAACAAACAAACAAACAAAAAAACCCCCTGATAATCCCAAGTGCTGGGAAAGGATATAGAGCAACTAGAACTCTTGCTGGTGGAAATGCAAAATGATATATAGCCACTCTGGAAAAGTTTGACAGCTTCTTATAAATTAAACATAATTT